AGTGTTTAAACCAGCCTTGGTGTACTAATTAAAAATGTCGGAAACGAAATTTTACATATAATGAACGATAGTCTATCTCTATAGCCTCTAATATTAACGTTCCAACCCTAAATTCGTGTTTTACGCACTTTGTTTATTTATACTTATAGCAGGTTGCGACATCGCGGTCATATTATTATACCAATCAGCAGTAATCACATGCTATCAAATTGTGTATCGGTCTTTCAATTGAATACATGTACAACACAAGAACTACTTATGTACATGAGTATATTGTTCACCCGATTTGTAGTACAAAACAATAATGCGTATTTAGTTAAATAAATAGAATCCTTATCAAATACCTGATCGGTCTTTTTTCTCTTGGCATAGTAAACCATAAAACAGCAAGTTGCTTGTAATTGTAAGGCATAGTATTTTTTTGTGAAGAAAGTTAGGCTACCGTAGTAGTGGAGTGAAAAAAAACCATTTAAGCAGTTAAGCAACCTCAAAGTGAACTCACTAGACAGAAAAAAACTAGAAATTAGTTGATCACGTGAGTCGTTTGCACAGATCGTTATTAACACCCACCTTTCGTGAATCTTAAGATTATCTAGAATTACTAAAATCCAAAACTTTTATGACTTAATTTGTGTTTTGGAAGTTGGCACAACTTATCCTTGGGTTTCTAAACCTTAATATTTACTGAATTTTTTCCTTACATGAAGGTTTGAATAGTTCATTTCAGTAAATTATTAATTTGGTTTATATAAGATAAAAATTTTTAACATCTTTTACAATATGAGTACTGTTAAAACTACATTATGATCTCAAGATTTTCTTATTTGTGCTTTAAACTTCTTGAATCTTGAACTTATAATACTTACTGTTTTTTTGGTATGAAGATATTTTCACTGAGTAATAGTATTTCAACAAACTGTGTGATAGATTTAGTTGATACAACAAACTTTAATATTTACTCTCACACAAGTAATATTAAACCTATCATTTTACAATCTCAATTTTTCTTATTTGTACTTTTTAAATTTTCTTATAATACAATTTTTTTTATTTTGTCATAAAAATATTTCCAAAATGTGAATAGTTTGATTTTTCAACAAATTATCTATTTGGTGGATACTATATATAAGGTTATATAAAATTTTTAAACACTTACTTTCTTACAACACAAATATTACTAGACCTATCCATCTTATAATTTTAGGTTTTTTTGCTTTTGCTTTTAAATTTTTTTAATAGTTAATATTATTATTTTTTTTTTTAATATGTAGATATTTTTAAAGCATAAATAATGAAACTTTTAATAATATGAAAATTATCAATTTGACTGATATTCAAAATAACAATATTTGATACCTATTTATTTACAACTATAAGTTTATGCAATTTATTATTAAAACCTATTCTCTTATGATTTTAAGTATTTTTTTACTTGTATATTTGAATTTGATATAAACCTATTAGACTCTTAAGTCTCAAAATTCTTTAAATTTTTTTTGGTATAAAGGTATTTTAAAGTGAATAGTTTAGTTTTGATTAATGTACTTTTAGTAAATTATAGATTTAATTAATATATAGCATAATAATTTAGAAATGACAAACTAATTAGTTCTAGAAATTAGTTTTTAAATAAACTATATAATATGTTAATTATAATTCAGTAAGTATCAAATTAATGAATGTATAAGCAATTTGAAACTAATATTTAATATATAACTTGTTTTCTTTTAAAAATTTAAAGGTTCACTAGCTATAGAAAATAATATTAGCATGAACTGTTCATATACTAATCCAAATATTAATACCTTTAATGAAAAACAAAATAATAAAATATTTATATTTATATGTTACATAATTATATAATGATTTAATAATATGTATTTCTAAATAATTTATTACTATTTGTTTATAGTATTTGTAATTCATAATGTACCAACTACTTTCACAAACTGTGTCTTAAATTCTGTTATTTTATCTAAAGGGCCTATAGGTTTAAATCAAAAGCAACAGAGTGATAATGAGTCTAATTATAAAATTGATAAAAAATTAAACATATAGTTCAAAATAGTTTTTTTTCTAATTAGAAGTTTTTAGAAGATGCAATAAAAAAATATGAATTAAAAGTAGGATTCAAGTCAATAAAGTATCAAATAGAATGTAATAATAATGATAAGATAATTTATTGATATTTTCTTTGTGAAAATTCTGAAGAACATCAATCTAAAAAAAAACTGACCCTATATACCAACAAGAAAAAGCATCAAAAAAGGTTGGTTGCCTATGGCAACTTAATGCAAAGTATTGAAAGAATCTTAGTTTTGTTATTATTAATAAGTTTGTTAAAAATCATATCCATTTACTTGCATTATACTGAAAAGAGTTTGCTTTAAGTTTATGTTTGTTTTCACAAAAGGTCCTTGATACAATAAAGTTTTTAACACAGAAGTGTAATCTTGGAGCCAAGACCTAGCACCATTATATTTCAAAAAAATTCTCTAATCAACTATTATATAATCATGATTTGTACAATACTATATGTTGATATACTAAGCAAATAGGTAATAAGAGAGAAAATGATGTGGCAGACATGGTAAAGTGGCTTATAGAACAGTGAGAGCAAGAATCTGGATAGGCAATTTATATAAAGCTTGAGGGAGTAGATAATATTCTTTTGTAACTTTTTTGAATAATGCTAGCACAAATAGAGTTATAGAAATATTATCATAACATTGTGGTAAATAATAATATAGCCAAAACAAATGCTTCTAAATCTATTTATAGTGTTGACAATCATTATAAAACAAGGCTTGTGATACAATTACTTGTTCAAAATGAAACTATAGGTTCTTATATATGAATTTTAAATTGCATTCTAAGGGCAACCAATAACTTAGCTCTACAAACAATTTATACTGATGCTAATATTGCTATGATTTCTGTTATTAGTTAAGTGTTTTTTAACTTAAAATATAATTCTTGTATATTTTATATACAATCTAATCTTTTAAAAAATTATCATGAAAGTTAGACAATTCTTATAGTAAGTTTTTAAAAAGCTAGTTTAATGTTATAATAGTTGTAGTGAGACAAAATTAGAACATAATTAGGCAGAATTCTTAGTTAAATATTCAGAAGGTTAAAGATATTTGCAACAATTTTGGAAATCATAAAAATTATAAGCCAAAACTTATGTATTTATGCCTTTTTGTGCTAGGATGTAAAGCACCCAATAGATTGAAAGTATTAATAAAGTTATTAAAGATAAAGTTGATGCAAAAACAACTTTTCTTAATTTAGGAAAGCTATTCAAACAAAACTTGAGCATGAGACACAATATTAATGTTTATCAGAATATAAAAATATATTATTTACTTAAGGACTTTCAAGTATTCTGAGTGTTTTTTTAAAACAATCCAAGATAATATTAAAAAATACTTAATATTGGAATTAGCTTCAGTTCAAAACATTTAAGTATTTCAAAGTGTTTTATATTGGGCATGTTTAGTTGAAATTCTTAATAATTTAATATTAGTATGATTTATTTTAATTGCTTTTATTATTTGGGCTATCATCAATAGAAATTAAGCAGATTGCTATTTTAAAAAAAATTAATATTTTAACTTTTATAGCTCACATTTTAATGAATTGAAATATGAGCTGTAAAAGTTAAGATATTAATTTTTTTTTAAAATATTAATTTGCTTGATTTATATTAATAATAGCTTATTTAATTATACTAATTGGTTATTTAAAAAAAGTTTTTTAATATAAATATTTATTTTAGTTATTTAAAGCTCATGAATATTCAGAAAAGTATCTTGAGGATGAATATGACATATTACAGACTTCATATAAAACAATTTTTTTTTTTTTTTTTTTTTTATTTATTTAAGGCTGATGTTATCAGTAGCTACCACCTTTATTTGTGTTTTTGGTCAATGCATTACATGTGACTTGTACAAGGTAAGTGTGCAACTAGCCACATGCATAACTCTTGGTTACCTATTTAAGTAGTCTGCCCAAGGATTCTACACTAGCTGCCATGCCTGTAACCCACTAAGAGGGTACCTATTTAAACACTTTGATTCTTATACTACACCCAGATGAGTAATACCTAGTTCTTATACAACTAAGTGCTATCTAATCCAATATTTAGCTATCCCATTTTGTATATCTGACAAGCTGTTAAACATTCCAGAATATGTCACCTGACTGTAAGGTTCTAGAGTACCTCCTTGTTAACTACCTACTTACTTTACAGAATATTAGCAAGGCTAGCTCTTGAAGAGTTCATCCAAATCCTAGCACCTACTTCACAGCATATCCCTAGTACTTATAGTATACCTCTGCTTTGAACTCAGACTTCTAATTCAGATAGTCTGATGGAACTGTAACCTGTTTTTGGTATATAAGCTGGCCCAATATTCTTTTTTTTTAGTTCGTTCTAGCAGCCTGGTTGGTAGTACTCCTCATTTAAGATTCTTGCCCATCTGGCTCCTCTATATTGATATCTATTTCCTAGGTCTAGCCTTTATAGTGATACCATCAAAGATATGTGTTACCTCTCTATTCAGGTCTTTTTAAATGGGCTCTGGTTTTCCAGTTCTACGAATTTATATAACCACAAGGACTTATTTTAGGTTTGTACTGCCTAATATCAGGTTGCATTCCTTTGTGTAACCAAGGTTACACAGATGCCCCATGACCTGCCAGTCATGCTGATGTAACCATAGTTACAGGTATCCAACCTAACTGATCAACAGAATGCTGTCACTATAATATCATTTATGTATTATATAGGTGATTATTCAAATTTTCATCATTGGTGGATTTTGAACTCACAATCTACTACTTGGAAGGTTGCCAACTTATCCACTTCACTAAGTTACCACACCTCTATATAAAACAATTATAAATATGATTAACTACAAAAACATTCTTGAGATTTGGCAGGTCTTTTTGTTTAATCAAGATATTAATAATTATCTCTATTATGTTATTCTTTTAAGTAATAACATATATATTTGTACATATTTTTATATAATTTCAAATGGGTTTTATTGTAGACATTTTTTTAGTATTTTTAAAATGTTATGTAATACTAAGTTTGACATTAAACTTATTTTTAAACATTGGTTGGCTGTACAATACAAGTTCCTAATCCTTTACCAATTACAAGTATAACTATCACAATTATAGAAATAAATCAAGTAATGGCAGTTTGAGGACTAAACATACTTCAACCTAATATTTGTACAAATATTAAACAAAAGCAGCAATATGTATATAGCTTTGGTGTTGCCAAAAGTAAATTAAAATTTGCTGTTGAAAATAGCTTAGTTGACAAATTTATAAAATTTATAACAAGATTTATTAAAAACCATACTGATATTAATACTAATCAACAGATTCTGGTTGATTTAATCTAAATTGACAATTCAAAAAAATTAAACCATAAGAGGTACCCAAAATGGACAAGTTTTATGCAAGATAGTGTTCTTCAAGATTTAACAATAAAACATAAAAAGAATTTAAGATTGGCAAAATAAGTTAATGTTAAGTCAAATAATAGTAATGTTAAACTAAAATCAGAGAATTGGCATTGTAGTAATTGGCATAGAACAGAACATTACATTTTTATTTACAAATTTGCTAAAGATTACTTTAAGTAATTCATATATTAGAATTATGTTATATATTACAATTCAGTAAGGTTTAACATGCAGACTAAGGTATTCAGAGTTTTATAATTTGTTGAGTAAATTATCTATTTGTATTTGTTAAATTGGTTGTCACATATTTGCTTTTTTTTGAATTTATTAGTTTGTTTGAATGTATTGTATTCAAAACAAGAATTGAATTTTTTGTTGTAACTAAATTTGACTTTATTCATTTACTACATATTATATCATTGAATATAACAATTTGCAAAATACAATAACTTTCATAAATTAATTTCAATCATAGAAAATATATAAAAAAAGAAATTTCTAATCTTTTTTTTGTAGTGAAAATCAAATAACAAATTAATTTTATATACATAGTGTCAGTTTAATAATAGTATTAGATTTATTAAGTGTTGATATCTATTTTTATATTAATTATTCTAAGAACCAAACTATAATAGGTTCTCAAACATTACTTTGGTCTTATTCTATTTTACTATTTAGAATGAATTCAAATATGTATATACATATATACATACAAAGCAGATAAATATATATTCTTATAATATCATCAAGTACATATTTGTTTTCAATATATTTACTAAATTAGGGTTAATTTCAATACATTTTGAAATATACCAAATGTAGTAATATAAATATTAGAAGCTTGGTAGATTTAAGTAGATGGATATTAAGTTTTTAAACTAATCAGATATGGAATAAATTAATATATCAGATAACTCAATTATATATTTAAATATATTTAATTTATTTAATTGTTTACTTATAAAATATTATTGTTTGTATATAAGTTCAGGCACAAATCATATACTTAAGAGATCTACTATGTATAAATTAATTTTTATTTATACTTTATAAAAAAAAAAATTTGTTAATCCATATATATTTATTTTCTTTATCAAATTTATTAGTAAGATTTAATATAACTGCTTATTGCTAAAGCACTAGTATAAGCAACTAATCTGAGTAATTACTAGTATTAAGTAAACCTTTCTTAACAGTATAACCCAATTTTGCCAATTGGAAGATGTTAGTTATATAAAAATTAAGATTATAAAGCTCTAATGTACTATGCAACAATTTCTTTTATAATAAGGACTTTAGATTAAAAGTTATTAGAAAACTGATATCCAAAGTTTATTTCAAATAGTATTTGCCAATATGCAATATCTTTATTATAATTGGAGTTTTTAGTTAAAATAAGATTAATAACTTCTAATTTTAAAAGAATTGTATTATATAGAAGATATGTCATTTATATCAAAAAAATTGCTAGCTTAAACATTTAAACTATATTTAAGCTATTACTTTGAATACATATGACTTACTAGTTCATTTTTTCTTTGTTTTAGTACAACTACTTTGCACAGT